GGGGGGCTTTTCATGGCATCCTCCTCCTCCTCCAGGGTTTCTCTCATGTTTTCCAGTCATGGGGTTGGGGGCTTAGAATGAGGTATGGTATTAAATATGATATTAAATTCAAACTGGAACAAAAGCCTTGTGTGATACAGCAATTCTGTTAAACTGTAGCTTTACCACAGCACCACCTAGTGGTTGGTTAGTAGAGCATGTAGAAAGGCAGAAACTGCCTCCCCCACATCATACACCATATTTAAGAAAACCCCCAGACATACGGTTCCTCCTGCAATGAAAACAGAAGGAGGAGTCTCAGTAAAAGCTCTTCATGCAGAAAAGCCCACTGTGAAGCTGGACAGCTTCCACAGCTTTAAGGCCACTTGCAACAGTAATCTTCCTAAGAACCATAGGATAGTTTGGATTCCCCCTTCAGGGTCAACAGTGTTCCAATTCTGGAGTGGGCTGAGTGGAACTCCAGCCTCGCTCCCCTGCCCCTGCTCTCGCTCACAGCCAGCACAGAGAGACATGTGAAACACAACCTTGGAGGGCGGGAAAGGGGCAGGATGAAGGCAATCAAAGAAGCCATGATACAATCTACTGTAAGCCTTCTCCAGCTTCCTTCCCACCCCTTCCAAAGTGCCCTTGCTTACTTCCCTGTGCTCTCTGAAAAAGCAAAGACATGCAAAAAATTCACAGGAATCCCAGGAGCAAGAGTGTAGTCCATAGAGCTGTACCTTAGGAATTCGAATACTGATAGATGGGAACGCTCATGACTTGGTAGTGCAGAGAAGTTGTCATAAAAGTAGTTTCAGAGAAACTGAATACGGAGGGAGAAATGGCAACAGGTCAACATGTTGAACGAGTGTACCATGTGCAGGGTATATGAGCCAGATGGTACACTTCCAAACCAAAATTCTAGCATATATCAGCCCCAGTATAAAATGGAGCAAAGCTTCTTTGCAGAATGGCAGAAAGAGTAAGTACTCAAGAAAAAGAGCAGAAAAAGAGGTAAAGGCAGATGGAGAACATGTCTATTCCTGCACCTGCTGAAGGTACTGTGCTTCAGAAGTCTAATGTCCACTGGAAAATTTAATTGCAGCGCTACAAGGATAAGCTACCCCAGAGCACCTGTGCAGTCCACCAGGGAGAGGAAGTCCATAGTTCAAAGTTCAGATTCCCAAACTGTCTCCATTCCTCCTTCTAAGCACTCCAGAAAGAGAGATTAGTGTGCAATGCATTCTTTCCCACCACCCTGTGAAACAGCAGGAAACTTGTTGATTAACCAAACATACACTCTTACTCATCAGGTAGTAACAGTGTCTCACAAAAAGGGGACAGAGGTTAAGTATGCACTTGAATTAAAGGGGTTGTTCTCAGCACATGCTGGAGAAACCAGGTGTTGGGAAAGGTAAAAAGGAACCAAGCCACCTTTGCTGCTGAATAAATATGTCTGGCTCACTCCTCCTTGGAAAATCACAGCTTAGATACATCGGGGAAAAAGCAACAATACCTGGGGGCAAAATTCCATTGCAACACCCTCTGCCAGGCAGGTGAGTCTTGCCCTGACAACCTTAAGCATCTAGGAAACTACCTGGTGAGTACATACTCAGTGAGAGAGCTGAGTACTTGGCCAAAGATGCAGCAACCTGACAAAAACTGTACAATGCTCAAAAACATTGTATGGTAGGATCTGGGAAACAGCGTACACAAAATGTTCCCCACATGTTTCAAAAATCCTTGTCTGGCATGCCAATGAGATGCATCCAATTCGAAATGTTTTCTGTTCATGATAGCCTTGTGCAGGCTGTTTGTTATACCATACTTATACGAGAAGGTTTTCGGCATGAACAGTCTACCAGTGCTTGACTGTTATATTTGTTTCGCAGATGAAATTTCATCTTTGGGAAATATGGAAACTGGTACTCAATATGGGGAACAAAAACTGTGTTTGTATCATGTTTGAGTGCTCAGGGTTTTTCACTGGTACAATTTCAGAATCAAAGTAGTGTAACAAGCATTATCTGGGGAAATAGAGTAAAGTGGTATCAGGCTGACTGTATAAGTTCATGCAGGCACTGTAAATTTGAATCTTTCATGTAGGGGGCATCACTGCTTCATCTTTTTCTGATTATTATTATTTTGGATTTGGCAATCTCAAAGGTATGTTTTACCCTGACTTCGAAGTGCCTGACTTTATTAGGAAAAATATAACTAAGCCAGGGATAAGAATCAGCTCTAGTGTGACACTGGTGCAAGAAGTAATTGTTTCAGGTGTCATTCCCTAAAGGAGTGGCAGATTTATGCTCTTGAGTAACACATTCCAGGGGCAGTGGGGAGCTAGTGAAGAGCTTTCATTGGGTATACAATGTTCAGGCACGCCAAAATCTTGTGCATATGTGTCGTACACATGCACTGTTCATGAGCAAAAGGAGAAAAGTTAGCCCCACCAACTGCAAGCCTCGCTAGCTACCACCAAATGGGCAATATGGGTAAGAGTCCAGAATTCCATGCACAGAGCTAGGAGAGTAGAACCCAGAAAGCAAAGAGTGTAACAAGCCAGGACCTAGGAAAACTACAAAGGTTCTTAAGTGAATAGAGTATTTACCTGCTGCCACTAGATCAAACTGAGAATAAACCAATAACCTAGACACCCTGAAAATGTGGGGGATTAAATCTATTAAATAGATTAGCCTGATTTCCTAGTTTGTTTACCTTTGTTGACCTGCTGGTTTGTTTACCTGCTGGTGTTATTATATTTTATATTATGTCATATCCAAGGGGTTGTGGTAATTTAGGTCCCATTCATTTCAATTGTAGTTTAAGCGGGACTAACTTTGGATACAGCTGATTGTATTTGTAAAGAATTTGCCATTTTTAAAAATAATAATAATTGATGTATTTCAATTGATTTGTAAGTCACCTTAGGCACTCAAAGGTGCAGTGTTAAATGTATTACATTAAAATAGAGTAAAATAAAAATAAATACTTTTCAAATGACAGAAGACCGCAAGCTTGGGTCACATACTAGCATCTGGTAGTATTAGCAATAAACAGTAGTACTAGCAATTACCTGATGACAAGTTGCCCACCTGTACCCTTATACAGAATGAGAACTTCAACTTTCTGAGACAGGGAGATTTATTTGAATCAGTATAAAGTTGGATTGCCCAGTATTCCTTCTCAGAAGGGATTTCCCTTATTTTAATGGGAAAGTCCCTTGTTCTGCAAAGCTCATATGTTCTGGAAACTCCTGGATACTCTACACAATATGAACCTTTGTTTCAATCTGGTGTTCCTGTTCCATAACGGTAAAACACACTGAAACGCCAGTTCCATTCTCTAGTCTATTCATTTCCCTGTCCTCTTGTCAGGAAAAAAAATCATATATTAAGTTATGTCTTAAGCCATACTTAAAAGGTCTATGCAGGAAATTGTGAGCAGGTAGATACATTAATTAGAAGCAGTAAATTTACCTGGAAGTGTGAGGGACCTTCAGAGCGGCTTCCCATTTCTGTGCAAAACAGGGTCAGGCTTTCTAAAGGAAGAGAAAAAATGACAACAGCATGCTTATAATCTTGGGAAGGACTTTAGTCAACATACCAAAGATTGTTTGTCAATCTATAACTGGAGCCATTGGCTGCTGGTTGTGAAATAAACAGTATGGTTTTGAAAGTTCACACATTAATCCCTATTCATTAGGACATGACGCGGGTAAAACCCAGCCTCCTGCAGTTCCCGCAGTGACAGTTTTTCACAGATTTCTTGGATAAACAGTATAAGAATAGAGTTATTGAATAACTGACTGGCTAGCAGATAGTTTACTCAAAAAATCAGTGATATATCAGGCAGCCCAGATCAAAAATGTGTCAATCTGTTGGAATCTTCACTAAGGAAAATATCTGAGGTAACACAGTCATAATAGGTGAATAGGTGGCAAGAATCCAAGTCAACTGACATTTTTCCTTCATATCCTTCATCTCCTTTCCCACACAATACTGCTTTTCTCCACATATGGCTACCCTTTCCCAAATTTTACCAACCATTGGTAAAAATGGTGCTAAACTAAAGCACCCTTTCCCAAATTATCAGAGCTTTCTACAACTCCACAGACTAATTGTAAGAGATTTCTTCAGACATAGGAGAGTATTTCTGTACCAGCGCCCACTTCCCTTCAGCTTTGGTTGGGCCTTGCTAGCCTCTCTCCAGCAGATGCGCTGCTTTTCATGTATATTTACAGTGCAAAGGTGCTTCTTCTCAGGATTCTGACTCAGGAGTCTCTGCTGTTTGACTTTTGCTTTTCAGAAAACACTACATATGCATACAGATCACTGTACGCCGTGACCACACATATGCTTTGGCTTGAATATGGAAAACCCCCACCCATCCCAAATCAGGGAGGGTCCCTGTGAGATTTTCATGGGATACTGCAGTTGTCATGGAAGGTCAGTGTCATAAACACCCCTTCTCCAAAAGTAATAAGCTATCTATGGGCAGGGAGTGACTTTGAATATATGAAAAAATTGTTTATGAAAGTTTTAAAACTGGAGGAGGAGGGCAAGGCTACAATAGGGGAAGGGAAATAGAGGGTCAGCCAAAGCAGAGCACAATGGGTATGGTTTATGTGCACGTAATTTAGGCTATTGTCAAATACAAATAACATGAAAATCAGTTGTCACTTTTTTTAAGGTAAAAGCAAATCTTGGACAAAATGGAATTAATATTAGAACTCAGCCTGGCTTAGGAAAGAAAGTACAAGACATGCTTGCATATAAAGTATCATCCATTCCATTTTATTTTGTTAGGAACAAAATCAAGTCAGTCTTTGCATTGCCACAACAGAAGTAGTAATCAAGATCAAGTACCATCATTCCATTTTTCTGGCTGGTTAATCACCTCCCAAAGACAAGATCTTAAGCATCTTGCTAACCAGGTACTAGCCAATGCAATTGTGCAGCAAGTAGTCATGTTCAGTAAAAACAGTTCTGTTGCATATGCATATAATCCCTAAGTACATTTTGGGACATTTATACTTTATTTCACCCTATTATCTCACTCCAGCAGCTGATGTAAAGTTTTGCACAAGTCTAGTCTTATCCTTCTGTTTGACCTGTTCAAAAAAACCATTCCTAGATCAGCAAATGTCCTTTGCTTGCTCTCTCAGCCAAGTTTCCTTTAAACACATAGGTAAGCCTCTCTTTTTTGGCAGCAGTAGGAGGGGTGTTACCAGAAGCTATGCTCAGTGGATTTCATGCTACATCTTTCACCACAAAGGCAGAGAGGTACTTCAACATCTGACTCAAAGCCACTGCCTCTTCAGTTGCTATGCTAGATAACCTACTTGAACAAACAGGTGAACCAGTCCAAGGTCTTTGGAGAAAGATCTGGATAAATATGTGATAAAGAAATAATAGGGTAAGTGCGTCACACTGGAACCAATGTTTTATTACTTCTGTAACCCTAACTACAATACAGTCTACTTTATATGTGTGAAGAAAATGGTTTTTTTATTTTTGTTTAGTAAACAGGATTTTATCCATCCTGTCCGGGGAGATTTTAACAAATCACCCTATGAAAATACCTTTACCTTTAAGGTGAAGTAAATGAGAAATATTATGCTAGCTCTTCAGCAAAGTAAGGTAGCTGAAAGATTGGGAGCTGGCAGGATTTCAGTTAGATCTATGAACTGTTTTGTTCCCTCAGGATAGGACCAAGGAGACCCAGGTCTAAATTTCAACTCATCCACTAAGTTCACTGGATGACTTTGACCAGTCATGATCGCTCAGTCCAATCTACTTCGCAGGCACCTTGAGAAAATAAAACAGGGCCTGGAAAGACATGGATAACACATTGAGCACATGGGAAGATATGAATACAATGAATAGGTGGCAAAAGTCACCAAAAGTGTGAAGTGTTTGTGCCATTTAGGGCAAATTTATTCTCAGTGGTTAAGCTGGAGCAACTAGAGACCTAGCTAATCCTGTTGTTGCCCCAGACTGCCAGAACTCTTCAGAAGTCCAGAAGGATGTCACAGACTCTGCCTATAAATCAGCTAAGCAGCATGGCATCCTTCACCTTTCTTCCTGTTCCCAGGAATGTTGGCATATTCATGCCATGCTAGCAATCTCCACAGTAGAAAAGGGATTGCTGTTATGGAATGCAACCCCCTGATCTGCTCAAAAGTCATGGGTGGAATATGTAGCTGTCCTATGAATGTTCCAGAAGAGCTCTTGCCCTGAGAATATTGTCTACCGGTATGTGGACTTCACTCACTATTCTTCCTTACACAGGTGGAAGGCATCATGGCTCTGAGTTTCCGTTTCATTGACAAAGTACTGTGGCACACAGTTAAGAGACAGGTGAAGTAAGCACCTGTGCAAGCAAGGTAAGCTCTATGCATTTCAGTAAAGAATCAAGGGGTGAGCAGGTAAATGTGTCTGTTGTACGGAGAGGGCTTTGGATGAGGTTGGAGACAGAATCACCCTTCACCCATAACAGCATTGGCTTCTCATCAGTGAGGCTGTAGCAGGTATGAGCAATGCGGAGCAGGGTCAAACATAAATAACACAAAAGGGCTGAATGGGCTATAAGCAACATACAATCATATTGAATGTAATTCTCCATCTTCAGTCAGAAAATATTTAGACTCAGAGATTTTTTGGCTCTGGCCTCTTGGCAGAGCAGCAGAGCAGCAGAGGCACAGGCTGGGAGAGAGTGCGGAGTGGCCAGGGGACTGGCGAAGGCAAGGTAGGAGCTGGGCAGGGGAACAGAGGGCCAGGAGCAGCAGAGAGGAAGGGGGCGGGGCCAGAGAGGCCGGAGGGGCCAGGAGGGAGCGGACAGGCGGGGCCACCGGCCTGAGGGACTAATAAGGCGTCGTCCCTTGTCTGCGTCCCTTAGCTGCGGCCCGGGCTGTCTGGGGACTCCCTTGAGACACAGAGGTTTGTTTGTTTTGTTTGTGTTGTGTTGTGTTGTGCTGTGCTGTGCTTTGCTTTGCTTTGTTTTTCTTCCAATTTAAATTTATTTTATCCTTGTGTGTGTGTGCGCGAGTGGGTTTTTGTCTGGGAGAACTGGGCAAGTGAGAGGAACTGCAGGACAGACAAGGCAGGGGACCAAGGTAAGGTCTCAGAAGGGATACCGATGGCAGACCAGGAGATGGACTTGGCGGGAGTCACGGGTGTTGCTGTCTGCTGCCACAGCTGCGACATGTTTGCCCTTCTCCTCCAGGAGAGGCAGGGATACACTTGCCCTCGGTGCAAGATGGTGGTCCTGCTAGAAGAGGAGTTGAGGTGCCTGAGGGCTGAGAGAGCTCTCCAGACGCCCCCGAAGCAGCCCCCCTCTGGACAGAGGGTTGAGGGAGAGGCCACGGGAGGAGCAGCCATGGAGACATGGAGGCATGTCACCCACAGGAGGAGGAGGTCAGCACAGCCTCCTCCTCCTCCTGGCACCAATCTGGAGCTGGGAAACAGATTCTCTCCACCTGGGGAGGCTGGGGCTGATGAGGCCTTGGGGGACCAGCAGGACCCCCAGCCTGGGACGTCAGGTGGCAAGGGGGCTGCTGCAGGAGTGGTGAGGGCCAGGGCAGGGCGCCCACCAGCACCTGGAAGGTACAGCAGCGGGTGATTGTTGTTGGGGACTCCCTGCTGAGGGGCACTGAGGCAGCGGTGTGCCACCCCAACCTGGAGACAAGGGAGGTTTGCTGCTTGCCGGGCACATGCATCCGGCATGTGAAGGACAGAGTGGAGCGTCTTGTTCGCTCCAGGGGTCACCAGCCGCTCCTAGTGATCCATGTGGGCACAAACGATGTGGCCAGGGAGGGTGTGATTGGGACCACCAGGGACTTCGAGGCCTTGGGAAAGAAACTCAGGGAGCTGAAGGCCCAAGTGGCCTTCTCGTCAATCTTACCTGCCTGGGGATTTGGGCCAGGAAGGGACAGGAGGGCCTCTGAGGTGAACGACTGGCTTAGGGAGTGGTGCCAGAAGGAACGCTTTGGGTTCCTCGACCACGGCACTCGTTTTCTTGTCAATGGACTTCTGGCAAGGGACGGGTTACACCTCACGAGGATGGGGAAAAGGTCCTTTGGAGATGCTCTAGTGAGCTTCGTCCGGAAGACTTTAAACTGAGCCGGGGGTGGGGTGGGTTCAGGCCCCCCAGAAACGTGTCTGCACTGGACAAGTGTGGGGGGAGGATCAGGGCTCTGGAAGCAGGGTTTTAGAGATACTGCAGGGACTGACAGGACTCCTACAGAGAGGGGTCAGGCATCAGGGAGGATGGGAGGAAGGAGGAGGCTGGGAACTCCAAGGAATGGAAGCGGTGGGAAGGAGTTGAGGTGCATGTACACCAATGCTAGGAGCATGGGTAATAAGCAGGAAGAGCTTGAAGCTCTCCTGGGAATAGGAGGGTATGACCTGGTGGGAATCACATAAACTTGGTGGGATGAAAGGCAAGTCTGGAATGTGAACATAGAAGGGTATCACCTTTTTAGAAAGGACAGCAAGGGAAAGAGAGGTGGGGGCGTGGCTTTATATGTCA